TCTCTCTCTCTCTCTCTCTCTCTCTCTCTCTCTCTCTCTCTCTCTCTCTCTCTCTCTCTCTCTCTCTCTCTCTCTCTCTCTCTCTCTCTCCCGCGGCACACACTGAACAGCGCAAACACCGAACGGTTTCGCCGAGATCATGAAGACGACCGCAGAATTGCGCACACACCGAACGGTTTCGCCGAGATCATGCGATCGCGTTCCAGCACAGGTGCTCCCCGGTTGCCCGTGCGATGTTATATACATCACCCCGCCCTGGCTTCATGATCTCCCCCGCAGTGTGGCAATGGACAACCCCTCCCAAAAACCAGGTGCACACATCGATTCCAGCCGATGACCGGTGCACATACCGATTCATATATATATATAAATATATATATATATATATATATATATATATATATATATATATATATTTATATCATCAGGATGACGGGTCTGTGTCCCCGCCACTGAAGCTGCACCCCCCCCCCCGCCGGGCAAGTACCCCCACCAATAGTTCCAACACAAAATTTCCCCCTCTCATTGCATGGGCCACATCGCCTATTCTCGCTGCAATTGCCGTGCCTGCTTCTGTTGTCGCTGTCGCCAGGGTGGCCGCCGAATTGTCAAGTCCCTGACAATACGATCTCGTTGAGTCTTCCATTACTTTGCCCAAGGACGATCCGCCTGATCCGCCTTCATGCACCCTCGCCTTGCCGGTCCCTGTTCGGCGTTCCTTGTTTGAGTTGTCCGACTCTTCCGTCCCCGTTGCATCGGATCCGACCGTCGGTGATGGCTCCTGTCGTTTCCCCGGGAGTGACTCCGATGCCATAGTCTTGTCGCACTGGATGGATGGTCGATCAAGTTTCCACGTCATCGCGTCCCACAACGCCTTCTCGAAAGACAGCGGCAGTTTCCTCTCTCTCCGCTCCTCAATTGTTATGTCAAAATACGATGGCTCCCCCGACTTCTTTTGTTGCTTGTCAAGGATGAGCTTCACCGTTGTCATCATGTTCGTCCACTTCTTCCGGCAATCCTCCGCTGTCTTGTGCATGTACCCGACATCCTTCATCCGTGCGACGACCCATGCGTACCGATCCTTCATCGCCATCATGCGATGTTGGCCGTTGGCGTCCGCCATGAGGGCATCGTCCTCTTGCATCATCCTCGCGAGATGGATCCTCTCGTCCAACGTCCACGGCACCTTCGGTTTGGGGTTGGCGGTCGGAGGCCGCCCGCCACGACGCTTCTGCTGATTACCCTTCGCCACATTCACATCCTCGCCTGGACGCCCTTGAACCCCCCCCTCCTCCACACGWCGACCACCATCTTCATCGTTCATCTCCCCCGGCTGCGTGGAAGTGTCGYCGTCGTCGTCTCCTTCATCTGCCCCGTAACTGGACCCGCCCGTGTCATCATGCCATGTGCCCTCACCATCGCCAACTCCTCCAGGCGTCCAACCGGTTGTATCCGCCGRCACTTCACCGTTKTCATCGCTGTCGAYGTCTATCATGGACGYCGACTRATCRCYCGAAGTGCGTCTGCATGACGAKGGGGAAGGGATGGAACTGCCCCCAAATGTCGGTTGGGTGCTTTGCCCCAACGTCCGCCGACTGCTTTGCCCACACGGAGCCGTCCATGGCGGCTCCGCTACGCAGCCATACCCACCATCCATGGCCTGAGATGCAGGGAACACCTGACCGGAGATGCCAAACGCCGTTCCGGCGGGCATGGATTGCACACCCGGCGGTGCATACCCGCCAGCAAGCTGCGTGCTGAACGAAGCGTTAGCGACGTACCCTGCCCCGCCTGGCATCGTCTGTGGTGCAGGGCGCGAAGGCAATCGCGGATGTGCAATCATGGACTGCATGCGCGGCATCGACATCCCGGGTCTCGAAGGAACTCCCATGGCCTGCCCTTGCATTCCCTCGACGGCTCCCCTGTGGAACGGTAGCATACTTGGGGGTGGGGATGCAGCATATGCGACACCTGCATGCTGTCTAGGATCTGCCACCTGAAAACCGCCTTTCCCACTGGCATTCAGATCCACCCTCCACCGCGACGAATCCATCACGACGGAAGATGTGCGAAAGATCCGATCTTTCTCCCACCCCAAACAGTGACAGGCCCTTGCATTACCTGTTCGCGCAACAATGTCTTGCTACGCACACAGCGTGAACACGGCCAACAATAGTACCACTCCACACAGAATCACCGCCAACAACACCGCTGCAGCAAACGCAAAGAAGAACAACAGCACCACCAAAGACACATTCACACGATAACACAGCCGGCCGCTGTCATCCACCCCGTTCGTTACGAAGATGTAAACAGGACGGCAGTAGCAGCACTGATGATGATAGACCGTCGACCGTGTTCGAAGATCACGCACTCCCACTTCGCCACTGAACGGCAACGGGCCATGCACGTATTCACGTGCATTCACACCGTCCACAACGACTCTCTCCGTCATGCCAGAGCGGTTGTGCGAAGATCGACCATGCGGAGGTTGGCTTGAAGTACGAGCAACCGCCGTTGCGATCCCGGACAAGCGTGGAAGGAGCACCCCTCCAGCGAACGACGACGAAGGCCGAAGCGCCAGATAGGATTGCGCACTGCACACTCGTGTGGCCAGAAGCCCTTGCCTCCGTGATGGTACTGGACATGCACGCACCCAACTTCCACCCGTGCCGTGGACATAACGAGGACGACAACATCCCACAGCACCCCCTTCAGACAACTGCCTCCAACCACGCACACACGCCTCACRGCTGCTCCTCGCTGCACGAAGAACCGCCGACATTGTTAACGGCYGACTGTGTGTGAAGTCGACGACGGCCGGCCCGCACTACGCATGCCCCAGCACTGCATGGATGGTCRACGTGCGCWCTCCGCGAATTCGAATTTCCCGCCAACCCGTGCGARGCGGGCGACAACACCCATGCGGAAYGCCCCGCTCCCACAGCCCAACCCATTTCGAATTTTGTGCCCGTTGCAAATTTGGCACACGGGACCGCAAGCCCCCGCGCAACGGAACGGTCCCACACCCGAACGGCGCGACGCACCACTGATGTCCGTGGTTTGAAGAGACGGTCCACTCCATTGTGCACCGGACCAGGCCGCCCGTGCCCTGGTACGGCATCTTTGGGGATGCCCCCCCCCCGTCTCAAAAAACTTCGGTTTTGGAAAACAGTCGCCGGACGGTCTGACAGTTTTTTCCAGCCGCCGACCATGTGGAAACGCTTCCGACGGTTTTCCACGACAGTCCGGCACTGGCAGTGGGGTCCCGAATTCGAATTCGCGCACCTTCCTGGCGGTCCAGTGGGGTCCCGTAAACATGGAAATGGAAAATGACTTCCACGCCGCCGGCCAGTGGGGTCCAAGCCTTCGTCTCAGAATAAAACTCGTTTCCGATCCAGCCCTTTCCTGTCTTGATAGTATGTTAGAACTTTCTAGTATGTATGTGCCCTTACTTGTGGGCAAAAGTGGATGAATCTGACGGAATCACGCTCAGAACTTCTTATCCCTTTCCCCCGTTTTTTTTTTATTGCTTTCGATTTCTGGGCTTTGCTGTAACGTTAGCACTTTCCACAATGTATCTGGCTGCAATTCTGGGCAACAGTGGGTGAATCTGAGGGCAATCACGTTCAGAGCTTGTTATCCCTTTTCCCTTTTTTTTCCCCTTTTCTTTCTTTTTTGCACGAATTATTGGCTGTCTGTGTGTCTACTCCCCATGACAGATGGGGAGCATTCAATCCCTGCCAGCCCGTTCAATGTCTGGGCTTCCCTGTAACTTTAGCACTTTCCACAATGTATCTGGCTGCAATTCTGGGCAACAGTGGGTGAATCTGAGGGCAATCACGTTCAGAGCTTGTTATCCCTCTCCCCTTTTTTTTTTCCTTTTCTTTTTTTTTGCAAGGATTATCGGCTGTCTGTGCATCGACTCCCCGTGACAGACGGGGAGCATTCAATCCCTGCCAACCCATTCAATGTCTGGGCTTGGCTGTAACATTAGCACTTCTCACAATGTATCTGGCTGGTCTTCTGGGCAACAATGGATGAATCTGAGGGCAATCACGTTCAGAGCTTGTCATCCCTTTTCCCCTTTTTGTTGTTTCTTTTTTCTTTTTGTTGGCAAGGATTATCTTGGCTGTTTGTGCGTCGACTCCCCGTGACAGACGGGGAGCGCATTCAATGCCTGCCAGCCCATTCTCCCTCACTGCCAATGGGCTCCCCATCCCCTACACCCTCTCTCTCCCCCCCCCCAAATCCCGCAGAACACGCCACCAGATACCCCCCCACTGCCCCCCATGTCCTCCCAGCAGCACTCACCTACCTATACGACAGTCGCCGCCTCCAGTCACTCTCAACTCAACTTACACAGAAGAAGATAGGCTGACCTGGTCAGCCGTCGCCGACAGCGAAGCAGCAACGACCACACCCTTGCAAGAAATAGACTGTGAGACCAGCAGCGAGCAACTATGTCAAGGGACTGCTGTGATGGTGAAAGCCAGAAGGGAGGCTGTACTCGATCTTCAGCAGTAGCCACCCCTCACGGTGGCTGCAMAGGTGACAGTGAGACATGCAGCCTGTGTCCCCTCCCACCTGCTTTCCTTGCAGATCTCCAGCATCTTTAAGGCTTCAAGGATCGAGAACATGCTATGCATAGGAGTGGAGAGGGTATAGGGTTTAAAGGGGTTAAAAATTAGATAAATAGACATAATTCTCTCAACGATTCGAGTTCTATCGCATTACATTGCATTGCATCGATAATCATCTCCTGGCAGTCCTAGGATAGACAATATGTTTCGCTGGTTATTTAGGGGAAATGTGTGGGTTGGACCCGGATTCCAGCAGGTGTTGCGCCCCACCAATAGATGGAGCGGCCCGCCAGGCAAAGCCTCAATCCCGGTGGTTCTCTTATCACCACCAGGATAGAGGTCTTGCACAAGGGCCTAATTAAAAAAAAAACTAGGGCTCTGTCAAGGTTACAGTTTGAAAATACATTTCAAACTGCCGTTTTGGAGTCCAGTCCCCTCTCAAGTTTACACTGCAGTCCAAACTCCGCCGTCGCGTGGCTGTCGCAGGGCAGAGTTTGTAACTGCAGTCTAGTGAGGGCCAGGCCGTTTTCCGAAAAAAAAAAAGAAGAAACAAGAAGACAAAAAAAAAAAGATAGTGGCCCTGTATCTTTCCATGCTCTACCGAAACATTCACTCTCGGTTTCCACGACTGATCTCCAAATGTGCAAAACGAGAGTGAATCTTCCCCAGAACATGGAAAGATACAGCTCCATGATTTTTGTCTTCTGTGCAACGGGAATACAGGTCCCCAGCGGGATACACGGGCTGACAGAAACGCAGAGGCCCTAGGGGAGACACGTGCTGACAAAAACCCAGTTTCTTTGCTTTTTTTTTTCTCTTTTTTTTCCTTTCTCAGATTTCTCGACCTATGCGTGTCATCCTTGGGGCCTCGTGGTGGTGCATCTTTCCATGTTGTAGCGGAAGATTCACTCTGGTTTTGCATGGCTCCAGTACTCTCGAAATGTGCAAAACGAGAGCGAATCTTCCTGTAGAACATGGAAAGATACAGCACCCTTTCTTCCTGTAGAACATGGAAAGATACAGCGCCCTTGATTTCTGTCCGTTGTGCATGTCAAGAATAGTGGAGCAAGCCCCCCTCTGTTTTTTTTTTTTTTTTGGTTCCTATAAATCTAGGCTCCGTCGCGTGGCTGGCCACGGCTGTGATGCCTCGGCCACATCCGAGGTTTAAAAAAAAAAAAAAAAAAAGAGAGCATCTCGTCGCGTGGTTTGGCCATGGCCGCGATGCCTTGGCCACGGCCCACATTAAAAAAAAAAAAAAAAAAAAAGGAGGCCACGTGGCGGACTGGACTGCAGTTGCAAACTTGGCATTGCGACTTTTATGCTGTGAAGTGTTTCGACTGCAGTTGAAACTTGGGACGGTACTGGACTGCAAACAGGCAGTTCCAAGTGCATTTACAAACTGCTTTCGTGACTGAGCCCTAGTTACCCCCCCAAAAAAAAAGGGGAAATGTGTGGGGTTGAAAAGTCTGACAAGGGAACAATTACCAGGGGGGCTGCCGGACAGGGTTGGGTTGACAGACAGGTATCATTTTTCGCCAATTGCGGTCCCACCATCTCCATATGAACTGCGCAATTGGACATTGCATGAAAATGTGTTCGATGGTTTCCGCTTTTTTTGCAAAGGGGGAAGAAGCTCTGGCAGCGCTGACACCATGGGAGCAGTAACCCTCTTTGCTCGAGGTTCGTACGGTCTGTCAACCAGTCATTGGTTGGCAGACAGCGGTGAGCTATCTGCCACTGAAGAGAGGAAATCTTCATAGGTTTAGATTTTTGTTCTCTAAACCATTTGATTGGTGACAGGAGGGATCGATCCAAATTCAAGTGTTTGACCCATCTGTCGTTCACTATGTCTCTCAAGTGTCTCTTAGGTCTGAGCATTTTATAGGCTGATTTAACCGAGATCTGGTATAGACTAATATGGCTAGTATGGCTTGTCCTAGCGGCTCTTCCCTTTTGGGGATGCTGCAAGATCCATTCCGCTGGGTCCAAAGGCAGGTCTTTGATTGTTTATTCCGGTTGGAAAGCCACCTTATGACCCTTCTCCTCTATAACCCTTACCCTATACAGTGATGACCTGTCTCTCCATACAAAGGGTGTTCTACTACCTTGGAGGGAACCCGTTTTGGTAATAGTGTAGTCCTCAACTAGGGTTATTTGTGGTGAGACCAATGGATCAGACCGATGCCCTGCTGGGTCCCCGTATTCGCCACTCAATCCCTTGCTTCAGGGTGGGACCTCGTTTGAGGGTCCGGTACCAGTCAAGTGGGATAAGTTCAATTACATGTTCCAGTAGCTCCTCTATGTGATGGCAATGCCTTAGGGGGCCTCGCAGTTGATCCCCTGTTTTCCAATCCTTCCTGTCGTCGTCCCACTTCCTTACTCTCTGTATCCCATTTTTAACCCAACTCTTCCGAGGTGACGACGAACTTACCATAACACAACCCCTCGTATTTGTTACCCATCTATTCCCAAAGAGGGGTTGTCGGTAGATTTCTTCCCATCGGTCCGGGGGAGCCCTATCTGGAAGTGGAAGTC